CCAACAATCAATCAATCTACTTTCAATTGTTTCATTTTTCTCTACTTTCCATAAAACTATTTTTTAAATACAATGTTCCAACTCCTTATCATATGGCAAATCTAAAGAATATTGAATGAAAGTCATATTTTGTAGGCTAATTAATGCCAAACACAAATGCATTTACTCTACAGTATCTTACAGAACAAAAAAATTTCAGTAAATGGAAACAAATGAATGAAATATTTGTACACATCCACATTTCTATAAGAAACAGTTTTCTAAATAGCCAATTGTTACTTTACAATGTACTTAATTCGTTCTCAAAATTTTCAGCTAATTTTAGCATTTTAAAATTTAATACAATATTGAGATGGTAAAAATATGAATGACTGAATCTTCTACCTGTATATAAATTGTATACAAATGAACCCATTGATAAATATAAACAACACATTTCCTGACCATTTAATGCAAAACTACCACAACAACCCACACTGAAATGTCTCACTGAAATGTCTCACGCACACAATTGATTTAGACTAAATAATACCTTAAAAATCTATCAGATGAAGGTCAGATTATGCTTGTCATGAAAACTTAAATAATGTTGACCAATCTACCATGAAAATGAGGTCAAGGTCAGGAGAACTCTGTCAAACAAATGTATACACATGACAATGATCTTCTAGACTAAATATTGTTGACCAGTTACTGGCAAACGGACATAATCAGGAAAACTTAATTTGGAGGATTCTATAAACCAAATGTAGATATTACTAACAACAACATCCTGAGTTAGATATACATCATGTGTTGAAATGATTTACATAAACCATGTTTGTACTTACAAAATATTAATAAGAATTAAATAAGCTCTAATCCAACGCTATCCTTTTCACTGTCTAAACATCTTATAGGTAAAAATAAAGCACTTTCAGCTACGTTTACATTTCTTCCAATTATCAATTAAAACTGTCCCTTTCAACAAAATCAATGCTTGTAATTGTATAACATATTATGCAACATCTGTTTATAATCCTTAAAAGTAAATGAGCCTTGTTATTCCAGACAAAAATCTTCCCTATTTAAGAAGTCAGAGTGATTTCAGCTATATACAGTATTTATATCAATTTTATGTTGGTTTTTTTTCTGTTTAATAATTCTAAATGAAGTTTTCCTGGACTTGAGTATAGCTCCAATTCATATAAAGATCAAGAAAACCTTTACGAATTGATAAATAGCAGTAAACTATAAATAGCTAGCTGCCCAGCAGGAGCATGTTCAAAGCAATCTAAACAAAAGTATTGCCAAAAATTAAAAAATATAATGATGATAATGATGATTGGGTAAATTGTTCAGGGCACACTGGAGTTAATGAGCAACATTTGCTCCTAGATTTTTGATGATATAAGTCTCATAACTACAATTTGTAGTGAAAATCATCAAAAAGTATACAGACCCTGGGTTTACTACCATTTGTAATAATTACAAAAATTTTGAAGTTAATTGTTTAAGACATATTTAAGTATGTGAAAATACCATAATTTTTCAAATTAAGAGTCATTGACTATAGAATGACAAAAATGAAAACTGTCAAAATGCAATCTAACTAAAATATAGATCCTGTGTCCAAGCTTTACTTACAAGGATCTGACACCACTTCATTTCAATTTCTGTTCTGGTAATTATAACATCAACCAATGAAATTTCAGCTTTCAAAGTTTTATAGGTGTGTATAAATCTGACAAGACCAGAGGATTTGGAAAGATCTTTAAAACAGAAAGTAGAGTGGAGTGTTATCAAACCTTGTAATTTAAGCTTGGACAGGATCTGTATCTTAATCAAATTGGTCAAAATGTATACGGAACTTCAGATTATGGCCTCAAATGGTCATATTTTCCAGGCTGGTCTGCAAAATTTCATTTTTGACTAGATTTGACTGAACCAGACACAAAATGTATGTTTGCTACTTTGATAATTAAGAAGCATAAAGACAATGGAAAATCATTCTGACAATTGTGCACAGTAAAGGACAAGGTTCATTTTAGGCCAAATATGGCCTTGAATTTCAACTTTATCATAAATTTTCAAAATAGCCATAATTTGATTCTTAAATGGGTCGATTTCAAAAGCCTTACTTCTTTGTTAAAATAAATCTCTTCATACATGTCATAAGAGTATATTCTTGGCTTCAAAATCACCACATTTTAGATATATTGTTAAAATGCGATGATTTTGTGCATTTTTCAGACCTAAAAGCTGGAGGAAACCTTTGGACGCAACGTAGGATCCAAAATGTTCTGTAACCAAAAGTTGCCAATTATGATATTGAATCCCTAGACACAAAAACTTTCTGGATCGTGGGTGGCAGCCAAAGTAAATTATGCTAAAACATGTTAAGAATTATTGATAAATTTGACCAAATCTGATGTTACAACACAAATAATGCATACTTAAAGAGTCAATACTTCTTCAATTTAATGTAATGTGCCAAAATGAAGTTATTTTGTATTAATAGTAATATCACAACTATGTCTATGTGAAATTTGTAGTATTGTGGCCAGATTAAAAAAAAACAGTCAATACTTCTTCAATTTAATGTAATGTGCCAAAATGAAGTTATTTTGTATTAATAGTAATATCACAACTATTTCTATGTGAAATTTGTAGTATTGTGGCCAGATTAAAAAAACATCAAAATCTGAGGGCCAATTTTAACCCTTCGTGAACTTAAAATTGAGAATGGAAATGGGGAATGTGTCAAAGAGACAACAACCCGACCATAGAACAGACAACAGCAGAAGGTCACCAACAGGTCTTCAATGCAGCGAGAAATTCCCGCACCCGGAGGCGTCCTTCAGCTGGCCCCTAAACAAATATATATACTAGTTCAGTGATAATGAAAGCCATACTAAACTCCAAATTGTACACAAGAAACTAAAATTTAAAATAAAACAAGACTGACAAAGGCTAGAGGCTCCTGACTTGGGACAGGCGCAAAAATGCGGCGGGGTTAAACATGTTTGTGAGATCTCAACCCTCCCCCTATACCTCTAGCCAATGTAGAAAAGTAAACGCATAACAATACGCACATTAAAATTCAGTTCAAGAGAAGTCCGAGTCTGATGTCAGAAGATGTAACCAAAGAAAATAAACAAAATGACAATAATACATAAATAACAACAGACTACTAGCAGTTAACTGACATGCCAGCTCCAGACTTCAATTAAACTGATTGAAAGATTATGTCTTCATCATATGAATATCAGGCCCAATCCTTCCCGTTAGGGGTTTAGTATCATACCATCATAACATATATGAGAAGAACATAACCCGTGTCATGCCAACAACTGGATTTAAATAAATGTGTTTAGTGCCGATGCAAAGACCCTATAAGTGAATCAATATTAACGCCAAGATATGCAATCTTTAATGACCTGACAACAGTATCGTAACTATATCCCTTCTTAATAAGTCTATTTAAAGGTTTTGTTAGCTTCAGAGGTGAATACTGACATTTTTGTGCTTTATAAAGAATATTTCCATAAAAAATTGGATGTGAAATACCTGAACGTATAAGAAGTCTGCATGTTGAGCTATATTTACGAATGATGTCCTTATACCGATGATAAAATTTAGTAAATGTTTTGACTAGTTTGTGATATCGAAAACCCTGGTGTAATAATTTTTCAGTAATACATAAAGTTCTCTCGTTAAAATCTAAAACATTGTTACATACACGAGCGAATCGTACAAGTTGAGATATATAAACACCGTAAGATGGTGACAAGGGAACGTCACCATCTAAAAATGGATAATTAACGATAGGAAATGAAAAATCATCTCTTTTATCATATATTTTAGTATTAAGCTTTCCGTTAATGATATAGATATCAAGATCGAGGAAAGGGCAGTGGTCATTGTTAGTATTAGCTTTATTTAAAGTAAGTTCAACAGGATAAATTTCTTTAGTATACATACTGAAGTCGTCATTATTGAGAGCCAAAATATCATCCAAATATCTAAAAGTATTATTAAATTTGTGTATCAGATGTTGTTTCGATGGGTCTTTGCTGATTTTTGTCATAAATTGTAACTCATAGCAATACAAAAAAAGGTCCGCAATAAGTGGTGCACAGTTAGTCCCCATTGGAATTCCGATAACCTGACGATATACGGAATCTCCAAAGCGAACAAAAATGTTATCTAGTAAAAATTCAAGGGCATATATAGTATCAAAGCATGTCCAATTGACATAGTTTTTTTGTTTATTGCTACTAAAAAATGACCTAAAAGAGTTTGAACATATATATTCACATTCTGACTTTTTAAATGCCCATTTAATTAGGTGTGTGAATTTTTTCTTAATGAGAATGTGAGGCAATGTGGTATATAGGGTAGAAAAATCAAAACTTTGAACAGATTCAAAATCACCAATATATGCATGCAATTTATCAAGTACTTCCAACGAGTTCTTGACACTCCAAAAGTAATTAATTCCACTATTTTCGAAGGCCTTATTTGAACAATTTATTATCAGGTTTTTGATTGTACCAAGTGTACTGGTAAGAAGTATAGACAATTTAGTAGTGGAACAATGGCTTGAAGACGAAATGAATCTATATTTGTAAGGTGTTTTGTGTAGCTTCGGAAGCCAATACATAGTTGGGACTTTCATTGTATTTGGTTCTGCTTGTAAAGCGGTAGCTAAAAGTTTATGTTTGTTACAGATGTCGTTTTCTGAAAATGGAGTCAGTTGGAATGTTGGTGAATTGGTGATTTCTTTTTTCAGAACCTCAATGTAAAATTTACGTCAAACAATAATAATATTATTAGCAGCTTTATCGGCCGGGACATTACTCCTTTGTCAGAAATAGGAAGTCCATCTATAGACATGACTGCAAATTCAATGATTAATTTATGCTATTATGAATATTAATTAATTATCACCAATAGCATCTCTACGTAAACATATATACCATCCAATATTTCTTGATGTTTGTAATATTAATGCGTACCTGATTTCTAGTAAAAGTAGAACATCGATTGATTCCATTTAAGGCAGTCTCTTGTAGCTTTGGATCAGGATGTGTTAATAAGGAGGACAAAACCTCAGCATTTGAACCAGACAAAATCCCAGGAGATGTCTGAGATACAAGCAAAGCATCTGTTATTTCTTCTTCACTGAATCTTGTGTAACTCTGATCATCATCTGATCCTGTACCTTCTTTTTCCTCACTGGATTTTCCACTTGCATTGATTTTTCTTTCATCTGGGGTGCTTCCATTTTGATTAGGTATCTTTAATTCACTTCCTGATATTACTATCCTTGGTGTAGATGAAAGCGTCTGAGACCTTTTAGATTCAATTATCTCCCCTGAAAACACCTCTTTATTTCCCTCTAAACCATTGTTAACTTCATGTTTTGCTACTTTCTTGGTGTTGTCATCTTTTCTTGTTTCTGATTCTTCTTTTAGTGTATCATCTTTACTTTCTGCATTTTGATTTGTGTTCTTGTCAGTATTTTCGACTCCCTCAGATAGAAATTTTTGAAGTTCTTTTCTAAAGAATTCCAAATTTTCTGACTCGTCCTTAGCAATAGGTTTACTCTTTGGCATCTCGTGAGGCTTTTTAGGACTTTGCACATCCACGTTGATAAAATCTTCATTTGGATGTTTTCGTTTACCATGAATATGAATATCTTTGTGTGTGTGATCATCATGTTGTCCAGAAATACTGGTAGGTAATTTTATCAAAGTATCATCTTCCTCATTATTCTTCTCCTGAGATTTTTCTAAAAATATAAATTATATAAAAATTTATTCATATGTAATGATATTTATTAATAATTTAAAAGGAATTCTTCACAATTATATAATAGTAATCCTTTGCAAGTTGAAGAAAACATTTTGGTTTGTTTCTATAAATTTTCATGATAAGCCAACTGTAAGAACAAAGGCTTCTATACTCAAAGAAGTACTAGGAGTCTGGGTCTCTTTTAACAAAAAATCTCACGACTAAAATTGATTGTAATGTATACTGTAATGTTCATGACTTAAAAGAGTATTTTTACTCGTAAGATTTTTTGTGAAATGAGTCTCTAATCTACAACACATATATTTAATATAAATGATAAATCAAAAGTACTTCTTCATTCATATATATATGTATATGAATGCTGCTGATCTGTAACAATTCCATCTTCATGCCTTATATATCATGTACTGTGTTACGACGCTAGATAAAAACTGACGAGGAAAGGTAACACCCGGCCACCGAAAGCTTAATTATTATACAGCCTAGGTGGTCGAGTGGTCTAGCGAGTCGGGCATAGTGAAAGGCGATTTGGTGCATCGATATCTCAGTAGCACGAGTTCGAATCCGGGCCAGGGAAGAACAAAAAATTTGCAGATCTAACATTGTTGGGCTGTTGTTTAGACAAATTATATACAGAATGTATTTTCAGCCTTGTATTACCATCACTGCTGGTGATCCCATGGATAAAATCTGTTGTAGAGTCGTCACTGGTTCAGACATACTTATAATTAATTTGTAGGATCCTTTACAATAGATAATTTATTTGGCAATCGTCAATGGCAGTCAGCAGAGTTTTAGAACATCAGTTGTTCGACCTGCTAGTCAAATGCGTTTTGTTAAAATATACTTTTTCACTCATTTGATCTTTTGGAAAATGTTGTTTGTGCTGTATTAAGACCCCTCTAACAAGAAATTTGTTTTGCATGCACATGTATAAAAATTGCGGTTTTTATCCAATGCAATCATAGGTTTGAACGTTGTTTTCAATTTAGTCTTGTTTATATTTTTTCGTTTGGGCTTGTATTATATTTGCCTTCGAGTTTATATGATCCATTCATCCTATTTTGACTCTTTCAAAATTCAAGAGTCTATCCTAAATTGAGGTAAATTATATGGCCTTCCAAATACCGTTTTGATTTCTAACATCACTGAAGAGACATTAATTGTCGAAATCCGGATATGGTGTACAAATTTTTGCACCTCATGTTTGCGGTATACCATCTTTTCTGCAAGTTTATTGTTTTCTAATTGGAAATAAATTAATAATAAAATCTATTTTGTTACATCTTGTGATCAGTTTATTTGGCAATCGCCAATGGCAGTCAGCAGGGTTTAAGAACATCAGTTGTTCGACCAGCTATTCAAATGGGTTTTGTTAAAATATACTTTTTCACTCATTTGATCTTTTGGAAAATGTTATTTGTGCTGTATTTAGACCCCTCTACCAAGAAATTTGTTTTGCATTCACACGTATAAAAATTTTTATCCAACACAATCATAGGTTTGAATGTTGTTTTCAATTTAGACTTGTTTATATATATATATGTATGTATAAATCAAAAGTTCTTCTTCAACATTTGAAAAAATCTGTAAAAACTCTGCTGACAATGACCAGATTTTAATCATTTCTGAAGAGGTGAAGTGAGGAATGGGTATTCAACAAAGAAATTGAAACTAAAGGCTCTCAAGAGCCTGTGTCGCTCACCTGATTCTACTTTGGTTTTGGAAATCATGTTAAAATAGATTAAAATCATAACAGATACCCTAATAATGAGTGAGGCCAAATTTGGTTTAATATTGGCCCTGTAATTTAATAAAAAATCCTAATGGCCATATGAACAGTAAATCAGCTTCAAAATAACAACACTTCATCAGCACCTCATAAGAAACATTTATGCCATGTTTGGTTTCATTCCATTCAGTGCACCTCTAGAAGCATTTGAAAATGAAAGGATATGTATGTATTTCCAATAGGGTCTTATGTTAAAGGAAGTCCCCCGCTGGCGGCCATCATGGATGAAGGATCAGCTTCAAAGTAACAACACTTAGTCAGCACCTCATAAGGAACATTCATGCCATGTTTGATTTCAATCCATTCAGTGGTTCTCTAAAAGAAGACATTTGTATGTATTGTCCATAGGGTCCTTTGTTAAACACTGTACCCAGCTGGTGGCCATTTTTGGATGATAGATCGGCTTCAAAGTAACAACACTTGGTCAGCACTTCATAAGGAACATTCATGCCATGTTTGGTTTCATTCCATTCAGTGGTTCACTAAAAGAAGACATTCATATGTATTTCCCATAGGGTCCTTTGTTAAACTAAGTCCCCCGCTGGCGGCCATCTTGGAAGATTGATCGGCTTCAAAGTAACAACACTTGGTCAACACCTCATAAGGAACATTCATGTCATGTTTGGTTTCATTCCATTCAGTGGTTCTCTAAAAGAAGACATTTGTATGTATTTTCCATAGAGTCCTATGTTAAACTAAGTCCCCCGCTGGCAGCCATCTTGGATGATGGATCTGCTTCAAAGTAACAACACTTGGTCAGCACCTCATAAGGAACATTCATGCCATGTTTGGTTTAATTCCATTAAGTGGTTGTCTAAAAGAAGACATGTGTAAATATTTCCCATAGGGTCCTAATGTTAAACTAAGTCCCCCGCAGGCGGCCATCTTGGATTATGGATCGGCTTCAAAGTAACAACACTTGGTCAGCACCTCATAAGAAACATTCATGCCATGTTTGGTTTCATTCCATTCAGTGGTTCTCTAAAAGAAGACATTTGTATGTATTTCCCATAGGGTCTTATGTTAAACTAAGTCCCCCGCACGCGGCCATCTTGGATGATGGATCAACTGCAAAGTAACAACACTTGGTCAGCACCTCATAAGGAACATTCATGTCATGTTTGGTTTCATTCCATTCAGTGGTTCTCTAAAAGAAGACATTTGTATGTATTTCCCATAGGGTCCTATGTTAAACTAAGTCCCCCGCACGCGGTCATCTTGGATGATGGATCGGCTTCAAAGTAACAACACTTGGTCAGCACCTCATAAGGAACATTCATGCCATGTTTGGTTTCATTCCATTCAGTGGTTCTCTAGAAGAAGTTCAAAATGTAAAAAGTTTACGACGACGACGACGGACGACGACGACGAACGCCAAGTGATGAGAAAAGCTCACTTGGCCCTTCGGGCCAGGTGAGCTAAAAAGGCACAGTGTTATGAGTGTATATAAATCATTTCCCAAACCAGATGGAAAGAATAAATATTTGTTTTTTTAAAAGATGAATGAATTTATACATAAAATAATGTAAAAATGAGTGAAGAGGATGCAATCCTCCCCATCAAGGCAATTAGATTATACTTCAAAAATTAAATTCAGTGGACCCTTGCCAGTACTCTAGTAAATAGTAATTTCAATTATGATCCTTGAACCTCATAAGATGTTAGTACTGTAGACAAATTTATATATGATCAACAAAACAGAAATATGTCTATTTATTGAACAGCAACATCATGAACTGTATTAACTTTAAAACATTATAAGCTGATATGAAGAAATCTGTGATCCATCTCTACTTGGCCTCTGCCATTTTGTTTAAGTTTGTAAAAGGCTGTGAATACGTTTCTTATATGAAAGAAACATCATCACATATACCTAATATGGACAATAAGGCCGCCAGATTTCTCAAAACTAAAACAAACACTTTATTCCTGAAAAAGTTATTATAATAATAATAATAATAATAATAAATTCTTTATTTAAAGAGGGTAAACACAGTTAGTTACAATTACTAATCTTCCCTGAGGCCCTCATATACAATACATGTAAAAAATAATAATAAAAGTCAAAAAAGCAAACATACAACATATTAACACAATCGTATAATCATGATAGTTCAATATACATGTACCATAATTAGAACATATAAAACAGTTACAGATTGCACGTAGTGAATAGATATTATATACAAATCAAAATCATACATTCTAAAAAAAAGAGTAATAGTTGCAATCATTTCAAGACTGAATATTGGGACTGTCTCAAGTATTGTTTTATAATTTGTTTAAAAGAAAAAGTGTTTTGCACTTTACGCATTTCATATGGTAGTCCGTTCCATAAAACTGATCCAGAATAAGCAAAAGATTTTTTAAACAGTTCAGTTTTTGGCTAAGGAACTATCAAATTACCTTGAGTGACACCCCTTAAAGCATAAGGATTATTAACAGATATAAGTTGAAACTTTTGAAGTAGGTACTGTGGTGCTTCTTTCCGCATACATTTATGTAGCAGTAAATATTTGTGGTATTTGATTCTGTTTTCAACTGTCATCCATCCAAGTTCTTTAAATAAGGGGGCTGATGGGGATAAAGGGTCTGCATCAAGAATTAATCTTGCTGCTCTTTTTTGAAGTTTTAATATTCTTACCATCCCTTCATTTTTACATTCTCCCCAAACAATACAGCAGTAATCGATGAGCAGCAAAATATACCCATTATAGTATGCTTTCCTGGCATTAATATCTAAAAATTTCTTTAATTTAGAAAGAAGGTATATTCTTGATGAAATGCTAGCACAAATTTGATCAATTTGATTTGTCCAGCTAAGTGTGCTGTCAATTTTAACACCTAATAATTTTTCACATGATGAATTTTGTAGTGTTTCTGAATTTATTAGTAAATTTGGTCAAAAAGATTGAGTTGATAACTTCTGACTTGTTCCAGTAACCAAACATTTGGCTTTTTCTCATTTATAAATAAAAGAAGAATGCGTCATAATACACGAATGCCCCCGATCAAGCTTGCTCATTATGTGTGAAAATACTTTTTGAGAGCATTTGATGTCACTGCTAGTGTGGAAATGAAAAATTTTGCTATTTTCCATGTTATAAAGGGGCATACACATGTAATAAAATTGAGAATGGAAATGGGGAATGTGTCAAAGAGACAACAACCCGACCATAGAACAG